CACCAATCTTGATTGCGCTGTGATTGAAAAGGGACCAGCAAGTGCTTCCAGCAACACCGTTCTCGTTCCCAACCCACCTCGTATCAGGACCAACATCAGAGAAGATTGAAGCTCCAGGTTGGAGTTGATGAACAAGGCTAAACCAATCATCAAAGAAATACTCCATATCCTTCTCGCCATCACCTTTTGCACCATCTAAAAAAACATATTTAATCTCTCCATATCTGCTCAACAGGTTTTTTTCGGCAGGGGTGGAGATCGGGAGTGATTGTTGTTAGAAGTTTCTCTAATCGTAGAAATTCAACAGGAAAAAAAAGCAGTTAATTTCATAAATTCTGCCTATATGTCCTGTATAATCAAGTTTTACATATTTCTTTGTCTAAATATGTGTGCAGTTTTTTATGGCAAGAAATAGTGAACTCAGCAACCAAAATAAATACAAACTATAATTGGTGGGGGTCAGATCCTCTTATACTTCGGTAAGATGACCTGAAGTATCACGACTCGAGTAAGAGTGTGAATTCACGTTCCTCATGTCCATAGTTAAATTTGACTGTTCTAGGGAAAAAAGTACTCCGTATTTTCCATTTGAATAAGGTTTATTAATTATTCTGAGAACTAAATTAGGAATCTATCATTCAGATAAGGAACTCAAAGTTCGTTTTACAGCTAGCTTGTATATACAGAAGCCAACAAATATACCTTAAAGCTTCTAAAATGTGCAGTCTGGCACAAACAATTAAACTGTGATACGTTCATATTTGTGTTGCTTCAGAGCCATTAGTACGAAACACGACCAAATTGAGAGAAATGAATGGGATTAATATAGCGAACCTTGACAAGATTGGAATTGAGGCATAGTAGTAGAAGTTGTTGTTTGAAGTCATTAGTAAGTAAAACGACTCACAAATCCCTGTCATCATAGAGCTCATACTTAAAGAGATCATTCTAAATTGGTCCTTCAATAACTATTCCCGGACAAAAAAAAGAATCATTCTAGATTGGCACCGTAAAAACTCGACCGTGAAACTGCAAATGTGACCGTCATACACAACTTCATTACTCACTCCCCATTTTCACGTTTTTTGAATCACATACATGTACAATATCCCAATCACAACATGAATAACTACATTAAAGCCAGAACAAGCTCTAATCCAAAAGCACATACTTTATTATTTCCCTAATACAGGTTGTAACAACTATCTTACTAACAATGAAAACTATGTGTACCACCTCATCTAGAATCTTAAATTGTAAGAAACGGAATACTTCTAATTATTTATTTTAGGGTCTGCAACAACCATATCAATAGAGCAGTAGAATCCAACAAACCAAGAAATGCTCTTAAATTCACCAAAAAAGACATTCTCAAATCAATTCAAAACTAAATGACAGAACAACAACGACATACCCAGGATAATCCCACAAAGTGAGGTCTAGAGAAGATAGAACGCAGACCTTATCCCTAGAGGGTAGAGAGGTTGTTCCTGATAGATCCTCAACTCAAGGAAAAACAATCAAAGCAGATCGAAAAAGGAAATAACTGAAGTGAAGAACCCATGGAAAAATACTATACAAAGTATGACAAAGCATTCTGAACAGTAACCAATAACTACAACAAAATAATACGATAATCGAAGTACAAAAAGCAGAAAATAGTAACATAAATCGAGTAACTAAATCACAAAACAAAAAGTTAGAGTCTTTACCTTGTAAGTAACAACAACCATAACAATAGAGTAGTATAATCCAACAAACCAAGTAATGCTCTTATTGAAGTCACTAAAAACATTCTCAAATCAATTCAAAACCAAACCAAGCGTGATCTGGGGAGGATAGGGAGGAAAAAATACAAATATATATGTTTAGTCCAAGACTAATAATTATAAGCATAAATGGCAAATATACAAACAAAGAAATTGATTTTTTTTTTTAATGATAAACTGAAATATCAATCATTTAGTATCGCCTCTTAAGAACAAACTCATTAGCAACAAAAACTATGTCTTAGAACCTTGATGAGAACACTGAAACGCACATTAAGTGAGTACGAACCACTCAACACATTTTGAGCGTCGCTTTACGGCTTAAGCAAACACTAACACTAACTACAACAAAATAATATGATAATCAAAGTACAAATGCAGTAAATAGCAACAGAAATCAAGGAACACGGACCTTACCCCTACCTAATAGAGACAATAGATTATTTCCAATAGGCACTCAGCTTAAATAAAGATTGCCAAGTAGCCACAACAAATAACAACATACCATAACTGAACAAAAGGAAACAACACATGCTACTAAAATCAACGAAAAACAGGCAAGCCAGACAACGCACTCAGAACCAAACCACAGAGCAAAAAGTTCAAATCTTTACCTTGTAAGTAACTCAGTCATTTGACCCATATAGTATTCATTATACTCAAGAGTTTTCCCATAACAATGCTCATGCCTATCCCATGGAGAAAGATACACACCCAATTCCAATCCCCCATTTCTTGCAGCTTCAGCCAATTCAGCTACAATATCACCAACCCCATTTCTCCAAGGACTTGATTTAACAGAATAATCAGTGTATTTTGAAGGCCAGAGACAAAACCCATCATGATGCTTAGCAGTTAAAACTACTCTTTTGAAACCAAAATCTTTAGCTACTGTAACCCATTGTGTTGCATTTAACAAATTGGGGTTAAAAATTGATGGGTCAACATGACCTGTACCCCATTCTGAATCTGTAAAAGTATTGGTACCAAAGTGGAGAAAAAGTGCCATTTCTGCAATTTGCCATGAGATTTGACGGGATTTTGGGATTGGTAGAATTGGGAGTGGAGGTGGCTTTCGATGTGAAGATTGTGAAGTTGTTGAAAGTTGAAATAACAAGAGGATTATGATTGTTTTGAGAAATTCTGTAATGGGTTTCTTCTTTATCATCTTCGGATTGCCGTTGACTTTTTTATTCGGCGGTGATCACTCTACAGCTGCCGGAGAGTGTGGAGTTTACCGGTGACTCCAAGTGTTTGACTGACTTTTGCACTTCTTCAAAAATCTTGATGATGATTATTTTGAGGTTTTTCAATTCTTTTTTATTTCTCCAAGTCAAAGCTACTCATTTTTAGAGTTAATATATCATTTATTAAAAAAAATAGTTTACATATATCTTTATGGTTATACAAATATGGACAACCTTCGTCTATATGTTGCTCGTGAGCCGCCAAGTACCAGTCTCGCAACAGTATTGGCGCAAAAGGATCGGTCGTTCACTTGCTGATCGTTCGCGAGTCGAACTTGCTCTCTTCTCACCCCTTTCACTCACTTGCTTGAGTCGGACTCAATCACTCTTTGAGTTTGGAGGATCATTCGTTATTCACTCTCTTGTTATTGCCCGCAGGGAGCACAACAACCAAGATGCATATTATCATATAGAAAGAGGCGAAGCGTAGCGATTCGTACTATCGGAAAAGTTTCGCTAACCGGCAGACAATGTAAAAATACTATATCCTTTTGGCGGATGAAAGTAAAAAAAGTAATATTAATTTATATATATATATATACTAGTTAATTAGTCATCATATCTATTGTTTTAGTTAAATCAGTGATAATTACGTGGTTGGGGTTTCGAGTTTGTATAATTCGCGCGTTTGTATAATTCGGAAAATTTGTTTAATTTTTGTATAATATAATTTGTATAATTATTTAAAGTCACATGTTTGTGTTTGTATAAATTCGTTATTTCGAGTTTATACAAAAATAGCTCAATTATATAAATTCGCGAATCATACAAACGAGACAACTTAAACTATAGCTATAAACTATAGCTAGGGAACATAATTAAGTTCATGAAAACTATAGAAATGATACTTCTTCTCACTTTGATACCTGCACTGCACAATTTTAAGTGCTAAGCACCATGATGTTTTTTTGCCTTTGACCTTCAAAATACACTAATTATTTTGTCAAATCAAGTTCTTGGATAAATGTGTCTGGTGATATTGTGGCTGAATCTGCAAGAAATGGTGGATTAGAATGAGCATTGTTATGGAGTGATGCTTGACTCATGAATACTATATGGGTCAATAAATGGCTAAGTTACTTACATTGACAAATATTCCCAAGATTAGCATCAATAAACAAAATGTGAAAATGGGAATTGAGTAATGAAAGTTGTGGATGATGGTTCAATATAGTAACTCCATTTGTAGACTTACTAGTTGCTTCAAACAACAATAGCAAGAACTATACGTCGAGGTTGGCTATATGAACCCTCACATGTTTTGCTCCATTTAATCTTGTTTCATACTAATGCCTCCGAAGCTGCGCAATATTAACATATCATAATTTAAGTGCTTGTGCCAGAGTGCACATTCGTAGGGAAGTTCTCCAATGTTTTAAAAACCTTGAAACTGACTATTTGAGTGACCTCTTACCTCATATTCTTGTATGAAGTGAAGCGAATACCTCACTAAATGACGACAACAACAAACCAATGTAATCTCACAGGTGGAGTCTGGGAAGGATAAAGCGTGTGCAAACCTTATCCCTTCTAGAGCTTATTATTAAAATAACAATAATAGCAGCAAAGAAGTTTGATTGGTTTATATATAAACTTATAGATGCAAAAGTCCATTTTGGGGGCTTAGAATTCAAATGTTTTCTCCTTCAACTTGATATTTGTTGTCATAGTGCAAGTTGCAACTAGTCTTCAATATTTCATGTGGGACATAGAGTATTTATGTAAGACAATAGACATCACTTCTTAAGTTCGAGTCACCTGGGTACAAAGTTGTCTTTGTTAGGGAACGCTTTACCCCTAATGTGGGATTTCCTGGCTCAAATTCGAATTTAGTCCGGCTCCTATGCGTGTATCGGACACCGGACACCAGACACCATATGGGAAACCAAAAAAAAATAATAAAGTCTTGGTCTTCTTATGTTAAAAATAATAATATAAATAATAATAAAAAAAAGTATGGTTATCTTCTTTGTCTCTACAATTCAATAAAGAACATAGACTGTCTTCTTTTACTAAATGATTGAACTTATTCATTGGAGATGGCTTATACTGAAGTCACATCTTTGATGCAGACACTGCAGAGACTCATGCAACTTCATCCAAAAAGTGGAAAGAAAATTGAATCTCTCCTACAAAAGGTCAGTTTATTGCAAGGCTTTTTTGTTGACACTGGAAAAGATCATGAGGACATTAAGTGTTTAGAAGGAATTATTAGAGATGTATCATGTAAAGCAGAAGATTTAGTTGAGGAAATTATGTTTGAGTATTCATCTAGTTCAAGTTTAAAGAAGAATGCAATTAAGTTTCTTGGCGTTAATCGAGTACTATTTAGGAAGATTAAATCTATTGAGGCTGCAATTACTAGTGTTTATAATGATATTTCTGCTATCAAAGGTAGATCAACACCGAGTTCTTCTGTGAACGGGTGTTCACGTGATGTCACGCAAACTTTGAGTTCACAAAAGGATGTTGTAGTTGGTCTAGATGATGATTTTTTACTAATTGCAGATAAACTAACAGGGTATCCTGATAAGCTAGATGTTGTGGTAATTTTTGGTATGGGGGGTATTGGTAAAACCACTCTAGCTAAAAGAATTTTTCATGACAAGTTAATAGAGGAACACTTTTATGTTAGAGCATGGATAACTGTATCGGAACGATATAAGGTGAGGAATATGTTGTTAGACCTTTTGGGTTGTACTTCTAAAGTTCCATTTATAATGGATGAAATGGAAAATGAAGAATTGGCTGAACGGTTGTACAAAAGTTTAAAAGGACAGAGGTATCTCATCGTCATGGATGATGTTTGGAATACTAAGGCATGGGATGATGTTAGAAGATATTTTCCGAATGACAAGATTGGAAGTAGAGTGATGGTGACTAGTCGAATCATGAAAGTTGCTCGTTTTATCAACCCCCTTAACCCTCCACATCAAATGCGTTTCTTGACTGTAGATGAAAGTTGGAAGCTATTGCAAAAGAAGATTTTGGGATTAGATGATCCAAGCTTCTGCTGCGATTATGAAATGGAAAGGATTGGAATGCAAATTTCCAAAAAATGCAAAGGATTACCACTAGCAATTGTTATGGTAGCTGGAATACTTTCTAAAGAAAGCGCGACAGCAAGTAAATGGAGTGATGTTGCAGAAAATATTCATTCTTCATTTGTAACAGAGGAGTCGCGGGAATTCTTGGATATACTAGCATTGAGTTATAATCATTTGCCTCATCATTTGAAGGCATGCTTTCTTTACATGGGCGCTTTCCCTGAAGACGTTGAAATCCCTGTGTGGAGGCTCATCAGGTTATGGACTGCTGAAGGGTTTATAAAGTTGGATTCACCGAAGACGTTGGAATTTGTAGCACAAGAATATTTGCAGGAACTCATTGACAGGAGCCTAATTATAGTGAGTAAGAGATCCTATGATAATAGAGTCAAAACATGTAGCATTCATGATATCTTGCGAAACTTTTGCCAAGAAGAAGCTAAACAAGAAAAGCTTTTGCATGTTGTGAGAAGGTTGGAACCACATTTTCCTCAAGGTGTTCACCGGCGCCTACATTTCCATTCAGACATTTTTGCCTACTCCTCCTACACATATTCTAATCCATACGTTCGATCTTTTCTGTCATCAAAAGCATGCTCGGTTTTAGAGGATTCCTACTTCGGTTGTATGGGGTTCAAATTGCTTCGGGTGTTGGATGTAGTTAACTATTCCTTTTATGGTTTCCCAATTCATGTCATAAAACTAGTTCATTTGAGGTACCTCGCGCTCTCCATCAATTCTGAGCTTCCTAGGTCGATATCCAAGCTCAAGAATCTACAAACCTTAATCATTTATTGGGGAACCAAGGAGATGCGCATACTTCCGTTGGAAATATGGAAGATGCCAATACTAAGGCACATCCATGTGAAAGGAGATGTTTTGTTATTTGGATCCCCCATTGCTGATCACTCTAAAAGGAACTTTCAAGTCTTGGGGAATCTGCAAACACTTTGCACGATTACTATTAGCACAATCAGCTTTTCTCATGGACTTGTTGCTACATTACCTAACCTGAAGACATTGGCCTCTAATCTGGTAACTGGCGGAAACCATGATGCTTTCGATGTGGATTGGCTTGGCAGTTGTCTCAACAACCTAGAGCAAATGTACTCACTTGAAACTCTGAAGTTGCTGTTCAACTTGCCAATGAACAATCCTCGTCCCCGTAATTCTATCCAACGATGGAATGCATTCCCACCGAATCTCAAGAACTTGACTTTGAGCTGCAGCTTTCTGCTGTGGGAAGATGCTAGAGTTCTTGGGAACTTACCAAATCTTGAAGTTCTCAAACTGAAAGATTTTTCCTTCCAAGGGCCAGAATGGGAAACCGATGAAGAGGGGTTTCATCGACTCAAATATCTGTTGGTTGAGAGCAGAGACTTGGTGGTTTGGAAGCAGGCCAGTACAGATAGTTATCCATTTCCAGTTCTCCAACATTTAGTTTTGAGGTTTTGCTACAAGCTAAAAGAAATCCCTTATGAAATTGGAGATATCCCATCTTTGCAAGTTATCAAATTGCATTCGTGTAGCCCTTATGCCACGAGACTCGCTAGAATGATTGAAAAAGAGCAAATTGACTCAGGAAACAGTTGCCTTGAAGTTTTCATTCATCCAGCGAGATAGGTAAAATTAAGGATTTCTACCAACTCATGTACTGCTAGTGCTATTACATCCTTAATGAGTTCCTTTATTCTTATGATTTTTGTGAAATCATGAAGATTTATGATCAAATGGTGGAACCACAGTATTACAAACAGATTTGTATTTTAATGCTAATTGCATCTTGCACACAAACTTATTGTAGCAACTGTTCTTTCTTATATGTGATTTGATTAAGCGTGTCGTGTGCAGGATCTAATGGATCATACTAAACACTGGAAGAGAATCAGTATCTCCTATGTCAAGTTCATGGACTCCCTTTGAAAAAATGAATATGCTCTAGTGGCTGACTGGTTGGTACTGTTGAGTCCCACATCGGTGGGATGAGGAATTTGGACCCTTTATATGGTCTCGGGGCTATTCTCTCCTCATGAGCTAGCTTTTTGTGTGTGAGGAGGGGTGTTGAGTCCCACATCGGTGAGATGTGGAGGATTTGGACTCTTCGTATGGTCTTGAATAATTCTCTGATCCATTTGACAGGTAACAGTTACTAAGATATGCAGTCATATTTTGTACTTTGACATATTTTTGACATTCACCATTTCTCATTGCTAGGAGGGTTACATTGAGGAGGCATGGAGAGCACGATGCATACTCTTTGGGGCGTAGTAGAAGAAGGGGGGAGGGAGTTCTCAAACATGGAAAAGCTTTCAATGAAGAAATGTTTGAATTGAACGAGGAGTTGTATGAGGTGAAAATCTCATGCATGTACAACTTGTCAATGCCAGGAGTCCTGATGTCCATCGCATTGAGGACACGTGGAGAGTGTGTGGCATACGTACTCTTTGAGCATAGTGGGAGAAGGGGGGAAGGGATCGAGTTCTCAGATATGGCAATGATTCCAAGAAGAATTGAACAAGGAGGTATGTGAGGTGAAAATCTCTTGTGCGGAACCTTTTGTCAATGGTATGAGTCCTGAAGTCCATTGCATAGAGAAGCATGGAGAGTACATGGCACACTCTTAGGGCGAAGTGGAAAAAGCGGGGAGGAAGAGTTCTCAGACACGAAAAAAGGTTCTAATGAATTCTAAAGAAATGAACATGGAGCCGTATGAGGTGAAAATTTCATGTACGGTTATGTAGAGTGACAGTAAGGGTCCATATAAGGTTGGCTATGAGACTTTTCAGTGTCAACTTCTCTAACAAAAATGTTCTTCCATGGTGAATTTAGATTCTATAAACTCAGTGATATCAAGAATTTACCTCATAGATTTCCCTAGATAATGTAGCTCTTACTATAAAGTAATTCATTAAATTTTTGAAATATCTTTTAATCGGTCTAAAAAAGAATGACACATTTTTATATTTAATAATAATTTAACTTAAAAATGTCCATTTTGCCCTTAATGGAATGATTTATAGCCAAACAAACATCACATAAATTAAGACAGTGAGAGTAGTCATTTTTATACCTTGTGATGGCACACGGAAAACATTGTAGAATGCATGAAAAAGTGAGGTCAATGTTGTGAAAAGAGAGTTTAAGAAGGTGTTCAATCTTCGTGGAGTTCTATCAACCTGTCCAGCGTTTGTTCAAGTCATACGATTGTTGTGTCCTAAAGGGAACAAGTCAAGCGAGTTATTGTTGGACCGGTGAAGATTTTTCTATGGACCTGAATTTCTTTAAAAACAGCGAGATATCTGCAACTTGATCTTTTGTTGTTCCAATATACTTTCAGGTTGTTAAATAATTTTCATTAATTTCCATAAATAAACCAAACAGAACTCAAATATTGCCTATTGGGCCAATGACCCGAGCCCACATAGGCCCAACTAGTATTGCTGCCACATTTGAAGTGGCCTTTGATATCTTCATGAAAAACAAATATACATTTTCAACATTGATGGTTTAATTTCACTTTGCATCAATACAAATTATAGTAAAAAAATATTATATGTAAACTTATTTATTTATACACTATACGAAGGCAATAAATAAAACCTAATAATTATTATTATTACTGGAACAAATTAATTTTAACTTGTCAATGTTGTTCGTAAAACTTTGATCTTTTAGAATTGATCATGTCATTCTTATGTATTTACATAGTCTAATATATTATTTGGAGACCTTTATCAATTGGCCAAAAGGATTTTCTATCTGAAGTTTGGTTTAATTTTTTCAATTTTGCGCAATTGAGATTTGTTTTTATTTGATGATATAAGATATTATGTTGTTGGAAGCATCTTAAGAGGCTTATATATCGATTTTCAAGATATTTGGAGAAAAATAGAGATGAGTTTGTGTTGCTTTAATATATGGATTGAAGACGACTTCATCTTTCTTGTATATCCACTGTATATCAGCACAAAAAAAAACACTCTTATTTGATCTAGACAAGTCTTTGTATCATTCACTGAAAAAGGGGTGTACATTACATCTTAGACAAATCCTATATCGGATTAAGAAAAAAAAAAGTTAGAAACTTTATAAAAATGAGCTCGATCAGCATCAACTTCATGTTTTAGAATTTCATGTCATTAATATGTAATCCATAGTGTAGTTATTTGGAGACATTTCATCAATTGGCTCAAAGGGATTTTCTATCTGAAGTTTGGTTCAATTTTTTCGATCCCTCACAAGTGAGATTTATTTCAATTCGGTGATATAAGGTATTGCGTTAATGGAAACATCTTAAGAAGCTTAGCCAACAATTTTTGAGATAGTTGGTGACGATTAGAGATGAGTTTATGCTACTTTAATTTACAAATTGAAATTTAAAATTGAAGACAACTTCATTTTTCTTGTATATCCATGTTGTATATCAACAAAAATACATTTGATCTAGACACATCTTTGTATCATCCATTGAAATTGTCTGATCATGTGACACTCATGATTGAGGAGAAATTTCTTATTGTGGCATCCATGATGAAGGAAAAGCCTTTAAAGAAGGGTTGTACATTACATCTTAAACAAATTCAGAATTAACTCTTTAAGTGTGTTTGAGTTAATAGTTGAACTAGAGTCGTTAGTCGTTACACATCATCTTACCTAATCTTTAAAAATAAACAACTTATTTATTTACTTAATCATGTCTTCAAAAGTAGCCTCAATTGTCAAAGAAAACCAAAAATGTACCAACTAGAGCAAATTGACAAGCAGCCAAAGCAAACAAAGGCATGATGGGATTTTAAAATTGACAGTCAATTAGATGTGATTGATTTGATTCATTCATTCATTTTCAACAATTCATCTATTCCTCCACATAGAATCAACCAAACACAAAAATCCAATACTACACTGTGTGCGCATTTGGGCCTGAATATTAGTTTTAAGGCCTTCACTTTTATTAAAAAAAGAAAAGGTAACGTATCGAGAAAGGTAGAATCGTCGTGCGTGTAGAAGTATCATTTAACCCTTTTAAAAGAGGGTTGGGTACCATTGTACATATATATATAAACTATGTACAATTATGATTTTTTGGTTTGATTTTGGATTTATAATTTACTTTTTTTATTTTTTTGGTTTGGTTTCGGATGTAGAAAAATAAAAATCGAATTATATATATATAT